AAATGTTCTCAAATTAGTGGAAACCACCTAATAGATACATATTTATTTATTGAAACCAACAGCTTAATACAATCAATCCTTAATGATAGTTAAGTTACATAGCGCAAAGCCAATTACAGATTCCAATGTTTACAATTCGCTTATAACTTTGTGCAAGGCTTATGTTAATTCAGAAGCATAGTTTTCAAATTACCTGGGCTAACAAAAACAAGAAAAATTCTTAAAATTTACCTTATCTCACATACACTGTTTGTCCATTGAAAATTTAGCGAAAAATATAATGTAACATTATGTATAGTATATGTACACATTCAGCCGGGTAAATGTCGACATTCCAACACGTACCTACACGAGCACATCGTAGATGTAACATTATTCTTTTTCTATAGGCTTGGATTCTCAGTGCTTGATCTAGTCTTGATAATAGTTAGAAAGGGATGTCGCTATACATAGCACATAGCGACATCCCTTTCTAACTGTACTCAAGTAAAGATCAACACTTAGTTGTCATTCTGTAATACGGGCCTTATACTATAAACATGTAAAATTTGTGAGGTTGTTGGGAGTAATTTCTGGATCTACTGAACCGGTTTTGAAGATTCTTCTACTAAATATAAATAACACAACAAAAAGTTAAATGTTTTAATGCCGAAAGAGGATTCTGACTGTGAACTGTCTGCGATGTGACGGTTTCGCTTCTTCATTATTATGGATATTCCTGAAGATGATACTGGAATAATTCTGGATTTAAAAGAAAAATGGGTACCTATATTTATAATATTTTCATTGCTTTTCAATCGACCAAAATGCTTTGACACGTATCGAGATCGCATTCAACATTTAGAATTCGATATTGTTTCATGCCAAACGTACTGAAGTAAAAGATAAAGCTCGCTTTGGTCTGTCACCAACAAAAGATACCATTTTTCAATATTTTATTCATAAATGTTACGTTAAACATCAAACACGTAAGTAAGTCCTTGCATAATGCATGTTCTTTTAAAGCAAGGTAGGCAATGGGCAAAATAACTTTCCCCACCTGATGTTAAGTTGTGACAAAGTCCAAACGCGAAGATAGCTGGTACAGCAGTTATAAACTGACACACCAACCATCCTCACCTTGCCGGCCTGCAGAAATACTTCTTCATGTCTCTCTTAAAGGATCCCAGATTATCCCAGAAAAGAACACGTGCGCGGGCAAAGAGTTCTACTTACGAATAGTACGACAAAGAAATGAGTCACCAAATTTCTTTGGTCGTGTAGGAATAGTGGCCACCGTAAGTCGGTGACAACGTAGGCCAGCGCGCGTAGTCCTCTGAAGAATATCCTTATATAAGGTTTAAATAGTGTTCCTCGAAAGGCAGCGGCACGGCTGTGTCACTGGCATTGCTGGTGTCCATGGGCGACGGAGACCACTTAACATCGTGTACCCATCCTCTGGACTGCCTTCGAAGGCAATAAAAAAGTTAGTTAACATTTACAAGGCGGCGGAGGAGCTCGATGGCGCAGGTGGTTAGCGCGTTCGGCTGCGATCGTTGTAGTTAAGCAACTTTCGCAGTGGTCGGTCATTGGATGGGTGACCAAAAATTTCTATCTCGAGTTCCTCCGTGCTTCGGAAGGCACGTTAAGCCGTTGGTCCCGGTTGCATCTGCAGTCGTTAGCACCCGCCAATCCGCACTGGGCCCGCGTGGTGGGTCATGGCCCAATCTCCCTATTCCATCCATAGGGAAGGCCTGTGCCCCAGCAGTGGGAACATTAAGAGGCTGATGATGATGATGAACATTTACAAAGTGAAACAAGATCGCGACAAATAGGATCTCCGTCTTGGTTCGATGTTGCATCTCTTGCATCGAGTTTTAGAGTGTGGTGAGTCTCTGACAAAACATTACGATATCCAATAGTTAAGAAAATAATATTAAAATAGTTGTCTATTAGTACGTTTTTTGGGGGGTATTTTTACTTGAACTTATGTGGTTTTTGTGCTTTATTTATATAAAAAAAAAGTGATTTTAGAGGGTTTGATTTGGAACTTAATACTGTGCATATAGAATTTAAAAAAATAAAGGTCTAGATTAAAAATTAATTTGTACTCAATAACAAAGCAACGTAAGTGTTTTCAAAAGCAATGTTAAGAAAAAAAACACGTCGCCGAATTGGGAATCTCTTCGTTTTTGAAACCAGTTATGATTAACAAAACATTAGAATTTCTAATTTTAAAAGTGAATTCAAACAAATAATTAGCTATAGTTATTTTCCTTTTCCGATACGTATTGCGTTCTCATAGAGATTTTGTTTTAAAACAAATTGAATTGAGCACTCATCAAATATATGGATCGTTGAAATAAATTTAGTGGGTCACTTGTGTCTGTAAGGTGATTGCTGGCTGCATGCCAGCCTCGCTCAACGCACGGGGCGCGGGCAGACTGAAATGTATTTATACCTTAATAAAATGAAATAAAATAACACTTTATTCAAATAGGGTATTTGACAAGTTTCAGAAAACGATCTCACGTTATTGACTAATGTTTATGGAGTCCGTAAAAAGTGGATATTCATCATTCTGTTGTGTATTTCAGTAAAAATAACCAAATCAAAAACTCTATTTTCAAGTTGCCGCGAAATCGTTTCTCTGGACAATATGGCGTCTTACTAGTGTGTGACGTCACACGACTGTTATTAAAACGTCAAACGATACAATGTAATGTCACTTTAACCGAAAGTTTATTTGCGTGTGACGTCATTTTAGGCTCGTGACGTGACAATAGATAACAAAACTATTATCTTTTTCGTTAGTTTTTAGTAAAATTATGAATATTTTTTATTTTTTTTTAAAGCATGTAATATAACTGCTTGATGTTTAAATCTAAAGAGAATGTAGCTAGAAAATATTCCACGCGGACCAGGCAGCAGACGGCTAGAAGAATTTTGACACGGTCCGTGAGGGCCGCGGTAGCATAATTGGTCAGTGCATTCGCCCGGACTGCAAAGGGTATGGGTTCGAGTCCCATCTGCTGCCTGGTCCGCGCGGAATTTTTTCTAGTTATATTTTCTTTATATTTTTTTTGTAAAAATAGTTAAAACCCCTGCCAATATTCATTCTAAACACAGATGCTAACAATTGGCACTTTATTTTTAACAGTGTCAAATACCCTATTGTCTTATTGGAAGCTCTTTTGAATAGTCTAATATTTTTTCCTACCACCCATGTGGGAGATCTTTTAGCTGTCTGTCAAATATACTTAGATACTTATTTTATATTACTGAAAGTCGTAACTTTTGAAGTGGAGATATTAAAATTATTATTAAGTACCTAAAATTTTTAATTAAAATTTATTTGTGATAAAAAAGTATTTTGAAATTTGTGTAATGTTATCAGAGGTTAAGTACTTACGTATCTACCATTATTTCGCCATAATTTGTTAGTCTAAACAGGTTTTAATGAACTCTATATGAGTTATACCTATGTATTAGAAAGATTACACTATCACGAACGATACAGGTAACGATTCAAAAGAACAAGATGGTGGATTTTTAATAGTGTTAATTTTTCTCTTTAAACGTTACAATATGGACATCAAATTTAAGGCTTCGATGAACAGATTCCACCAAAACAATACCACATAAACAAATAGACACAATGTAAGAATTAAATCATCCTTAGCTACAAAATAAAAAAAAAACACTAAAACGAATAAAATGAAAATTGGTAATTATATCAATAATAAAAAATACTACTGCTTCGCAATAATAGAACTAAAAAGTGAATAACAACTATGAAAGTCTTTAGCTGCATTCGGAGGACCTCCAGAGTGTTTTGCAGAACGGTTTAACGACTGCTATGAAATTATTGAAAAAAATAAAAGACATTTCAATAGATTATTTAGCATTCAAAATTAGTTTATTATTCGTAAAATTTATTTTTTTACATTTTTCTTTAATATAAAAAAATCTTGTTAGTGCAGGTAGGCCATTATGTCTTTATTAGTGGCATAAGAAACACTCGTCAGCCAAAACGGCGGATGTGGAAATTAATACCTCCCGAAGGAAACCATCGAGACGAGACGAGGCGGAGGCTAAACATAATAAAGCATAGAGTGCACTGAGAGGAATTACGCGCCAATCCACCTGCTGTAATGTTGCACTACGGATAATGCGGATCCCCCCCCCCGCCCCCCTCCCCACTCGCCGCTCACCGCCGCCCGACCGCGGACCTATTCATTTCTTACAATTAATCAAAATTAAATCAACCGCCGTCCGCACCGTGCGATTGTAAAGCGTAAAGCCCTCGTTTACAGTCCCAATTGGCGTAGACGGCCGTTGAGTAGGCGTGTCCGCCGCGAAGAAATCTGGCCAATAGAGTGCGGTAACAAAATATCCGTATTGGCTATTAGGAGGCCCCGCCCGCGCGGGTGGAGGGGGGCGAGCGCGATCACAAACGGCTTATGGGAACCGTCTGTGATTCACACTTACGTCCTTGCGGCGCGGAGCGGTCGGGAACCCTCTCGGTTCCAAAAGGTCGGTAATGTGAAGCGAGGGGTTGCGTATTACGCCAGTTCCACGGTGAGCTACGACCGAATCCTCAGGGGGGTTTTCTCGTTTTTACAAGGCGACGGGCGGCGCCGCGACCAGAAGCGCTCCGTACGCCGCGGCGAGTGCTCGTGTCGTCATCCCCAACGAGCGCAACCCACCGCGATTTCCACACCAGCTCGGAAATTAAGTCTAGATTAGTGTTTGCGCTTCTTTGCAAATCAGGCCTGAATTTGTTAAGCCTAATTTTTCGTAGAAACTGGTTAAAGATACAGTCACAACAGTGTAAAAAAATACTTAATATTATCGCCGAAACTTTATCGGACAGTGAATTTATTCAACTTTAAGACTCGGGAAGAAAATTAGAATAAGTTAAAGTAAATTCGTGGTTCAGAAATACAACGGACGATGAATGAGCGCTACCCCCATGAAGTTCAAGATTAATTTAAAATAAGGCTGTGAGCACACGCAGCATGCAAGCGATGAGTGCAAACGCGGGCGCGCCGCGAGCGCCGCAGCGGTCCCCGTTTGCCATACAAGAGTTACTCGGCCTATCGGACAACCGGGAGCCCCGCGAACGGTACTTCGAGAGCCGCGACGACCGAGTGTTGAACCTGTCGGAGCGGGAGCGGTACGCGCCGCAGTTCCCGCTGCCGGCGTCGGTGGCCAGCAGGGTAGCGTATGCGGCCGCTTTCAACGCGCAAGCGGCGGTCGCGGCCGCTTTCTTGCCGGGCCCGCCCCTTCTGCACCCACCGCCTGGTATGTACTCGCCCTTAGGCCATAACACCCGCGAAAAGCCACTTTATCAAAGTTATATATCTCTTTACAAAGTTCTACCTGTTCATTCCTCATTAGTCATGTCAATTTCGAAAATCTAGTAATGATAGCGTTGTTGAAATGACGCAATTGCAAATGAAACAGCAATGAGAGTAGGTAAAACTAAATATGATTGCGTTAGCACAAGTTAAAATCTACAAAAATAAGTCTGTCCAATATAATAGCACTCATTAAGCCTACTTACTTTGTCACCATCAGGTTATATTCGTTTAACTCGTCTTAAGCTGAGAGTTGAAGCTTCTAAAGCGTTTTTGTGGCGCGTAAAACAAGTACTGAGCGTGGCTAGGCAGCAGACGGGCATTGTGCGATTCAATTGGGGTTTTTAACTCTATAATTAGCGTGTTTGGCGAGAGACAATGCTTTGTACGCCACGCCGCCGCCGCCAGCCGGCTCCGATTTCGTAGCCCGCACCATGCAGTGCCTTTAGTGTGAATATGGCTTAGCGTTATAATTATCACATCAATATTAAATTAACAAAAGAATCAAGCTCATGGTTCCAGTTTCTTGTTGTTGTAGATGTAGATAATATTTAAGAATGCTTATTTAGAAGCAAGCTGCATTTTAGTAGGCAATCGTATAAGACAAAAAAATTACCTATTAAACGGAATATTCAGATTTATAAGATGCATTGTAGGTATAATAATAACAAATTGATTTGCAGAACAACAGCAGAAAAAATCTAAAAGTATAGTTATGTCTGTATCTTACCTAATTTAAGTGGCAAATAACAGTTTTAGGAAATATCCAATTAGGTTACCTGAAACTGAACCAGCTTATAATAAAAATGATATCACAATTACTAAGTTTAGGTAATTTATAAACTAGTATTAGGAGAAATTAGATAAGTAGGTAATAAATAACATTTAACTTATACTTACCAACTTGTCATAAAAACATACGTAATCTTTTAGTTATATTTAGGTGAATATTTGGAAAATGTATTATTATTATTTTTATATCAAAGATATTGATACTGACGAACTGTCAGTTTAATAGGCATATTTACGGTTATTAAAATGTAATTTGGTATTTGTATATGCATTGTATGTAAATATAAAACAGTTCATTTTATTTGCAATTAGAATATGATTTTGTAGAAACATTTGCATTAAAAATAAAAGTCTTTAAATGTACTGTACTGTATCGTTTTTTTACTTTTTAATGGTATTTTTTTAAGTAGTAGGTTTTTATAACGTAAAAAAAAGTTTTTTTATTAATATTATTATAGTAATTACAGTAGATTTATTAATAAGTACTTTTAAATCAGATTTTTTCTACAGAGTCACTTGAGCCGCCGATTTTCAAAATTATTTTTGCAATCAAAAGGTGTACCTTTCGATTACAAAAAGGTAAAAATTGAGGTAATATAATTAATTTCTATAATCATAATTATATCTATTAATTTATCATAACATAAGTATTATAAACAATTGCGGTAAGAAAGGCAGTTCAAACTAATAATATCGGTAACAATGGAATGGAATAAAGTCGGAAAATTGGAACATGATTGTTGATTATGATTTTTTATTATTTTTAAAGCATGTAACTGCTTGATGTTTAAATCTAAAGAAAATATAACTAGAAAATGATTGTTGATAATTAAAATAACAAAATAATCTTTTACTTTCTCAATTAATCATATATTTTTACTCATCAAAAAACTATCAATGTCATAACATAACAAACCATAAATAAAGGAATATAAGTATTAAAAGGAGTTAACAATGATGTTATACATTTTCTGCATACCTATAAGAAAGTGGTGAAGTACTCCCATACTTATTTTTATAAAATACATAATTACTTGAACTTTTCAGTTTATTTGTTGTAAGAAGAAGGGACAGTCTATTAAGTTATTCAATAATTTGTATAACAAAAGCATAGATAACTGGTTTCATCTCCAGAGATGGTATTCCAAAGAAGTCTTATATTTTGTCATAGTCTCTGACGTTATAATAATTTCTTTTCACAAAAGCTATTCTTTTCGGAAATAATTTTTGTATTGTTTCAATAGGTTTTGAATGATTTTGATTGGTCTACATGACGCATAACTAACGCAAAGTAAAATTATTGACTTAAATTCCTCAATGTTACCGTTAACAAAAGCAACAAATTATCAAAATCACTATAGATGCCCGAAAGTAACACTTAGTGACATTTACCCTGAAATCTTAAATATCTCCTATTCGTACAATTTTAAATTTTTAGATTTAAGCTCGTATTTCCATATTTTGGAGAAAATTCTCTTATATGTATTGCTTTAAATTTGAATTCCATTTAAAGTTTTTTTATCTTTCACCACCAAAACATTGGCGTTGTCTAACTTGTGACCAAAAGCTCAATTTTTGAAAACTAAAAATTATTTTGGACTTTCTCTTTAGCAAAATATTTTTTGTCATTTTTTTTGTAATATCTATGTCAATAAAAATACTTTGTGAAATGGATTATTAGTAGGCCTGTGAAAATGTTACCAGAAAATCATAACTATTTCACTTAACATGATGCTACATAAAAACTTAGGTCACATAAATTGAAATCTGCTTGTTTTTATAAAAATCTGCTCCAGGAAAGTTAATAAGTTAGTGAAGAGCCACTTGTAGGTTTTTCATAATAATTAGAGTATAAATCGTGCAGATGCCCCTGATACAGTCAACAACAGGCTGGCTATTTGTCACGCTTTCACACTGATGCTAAATGAAATGAAATTTATTTGTTCACATAAAATAGAGTAAATACATTGACCAAGTTCAGTGATATTACTTTGTGGTATTACGCATACTTACCTACTTAAAAAAGTATTACTATTATAAAGGAAAATATTAAAAAATTACAAGAGATAAATAAATAAATAAATAATAAATAAATATTTCCAATACACACACCAATTTGCCTAGCCCCAAAGAACGCATTATAAGGCTTGTGTTATGGTACACAAACATCTGCCGCCACCGGGATTCGAAACCGGGACCTCTAGAGTCGGCGTCACTATGAAACTCGGCGTACAAACTACTCGGCCATGGAGGTCGTCAAATATGCTCACATTGATAAAAAAGAATTAATAATAATGTTATGGGCTAAGTGATTAATCGGGCATTCATAATGCCCGAGCAATATGAATAATTTTAATATAATTAAAATAAAAATATAATTGGTGCCTGAAATAAAATAAATAGTGTAAATTGTTGGGTATTCTATTGATCACCATAACTATCAAATGATTTCGGTTAATCTTACCTGGATAATTAATATTTCAGCATATTATATTGATGGAGATGCGTAATTTGCCTATAGTTTGATGATGATCTTAAATTTTCTTTAGGATTTAAGAAACTGCAAACTATATTAGAATAATATAAATAAGTAAGAGGAAGAGTATTAAGTACAAATTAGATTATTCCGAGGAACAGAATTTTTATTTAATACCGAAAAATACTTCAAATAGCTCTTGCAAAAATGAAAGAGCATCAAATATCCAACAACTTTTTGGCACTAGGTATATAAACTTAATTGACACTTAAGATCCCTTTTACAAAATTTCGCCGCTGCCGTACTAATCGGCGCGTATTACTGTCTTATAAAATAATTATTAAAGAACTAATTATAAAAATATATACATATTTCAGTAGTTCAATGATGGTAGATTAGTTTTATGAAAGTTTTGCATAGTAATTATATTTAATTCAATATCAAAATACGAGGTAAACCTGCATTATTTTTTGGGAAAACTCACGGAGGTTAGATGTTATTTTATTGATAATTAATGAGATAGAAAATTAAAATTCTAATACATTATGTTACAACTAAAACCTATTTCTGATGTCGTACTAATTAATTTCATCTAATGTATTGAACATTATTGAGAGATTCAGGCGTTTGAAGTTGTGCATATTATCGTTTTTTCCGTAAACTAGCTGCAGTAGAACGATCAGTACAAAAAAAGGAAAACATTAACTTTCAATAGGAAGAATAAATCTACTGTTTTCTTCTATTGGAAATAGTCAAAATCTAAGGGGGCAAACGAGGCGCTCAAAAATTAGGTTTTTTTGCAAAAAATGTGAAAGGGCTCATAAGCCCCGTTCTTTGTTTTTCTAACGTATTTTACTTAAGTCACATTTTACTTTGCATCAAATATCGGGGCTTCAGGCCGCGTTCTTTCATCAATACTTAACTTAAGTTAAAACCTATAGAAAAAATAACGATTTGTCGAAATTTCACACATTTACTATGAATTTGACGTACGTATCACACTAATATTATAAAGGCGAAAGTTTGTGAATGTGTATGTTTCCGTACAGCAGTTTAGACGTGAAGAAGTAATTCTTCACGTCTAAACTGCTGTACGGATTTGGCACACATATAATTTATAACCTGGATTAAGACATAGGATACTTTTTATCCCTAAACAATTTTAGGTTCCTGAAGGATTATCAAAAAACGTAAGTTAACGCGGACGACGTCGCGGGTGCCCGCTAGTGAACTATAAATGTCAAATTTTACTATCGATGAAACAGTACGGTCTTACTGCTGTAGTTTTAACCACGATACAACCAGTCGGCAGATCGCAAGCTGTTGCGTTGTCCCAATTTATAATAGGTCTGATACCTATCGGTAGTTCATATGGAGCACGGGCATTATGCGAGGTGTCGGGAGCGGTTTTGAGTGAGCTGGAGTGGTAATCGATGGAGCGACACGGCAGCCGGCGGCGGCGACGGCGTAAAACAAAGCCCTGCCTGCTAAACCCCGCGCCGCCCGCCGTCGCGTGATCAACGCGAATTATTAACTAAACACAAATACCGACCAGGGTATCCTTACCGTCAAATTTTGAAATGAAATGAAATTATACTTTACTAGCAAACCAGTGAACCAAATGTTCACCAAAACCTGATTAAAAAAAAAGAAAAAAAAATGTATTTAATTAATTG